AACGAGTATGATAAGTGTGTATACATAAAACATACATCAAAAGCCTATGTGATTGTTTGTCTATATGTGGATGACATATCGATAATAGGCAATAGTTAAGAAATAATATTAAACACGAAGGGTATGTTAACGAAACATTTTGATATAAAAAACTTGGGTGTGATTGATTTGATATTAACGATTAAGATCTCTAGAACATTAAAAAAGACTGTACTTTCCTAATCTCACTACATTGAGAGTGCTCTTAAAAGTATAATGCACGCGAGAAAGTTCTGCGAAAAGCCTTATTAACACAAGTTTACAAGTATTAACGAAAAGGATGAATGTGTGTCATAACTAAAGTATTCACAAGTTATATGCAGTTCAATGTATATTACAAATTGCACTCAATTGGATATAGCATTTATTGTGAATAAACTTAGTAAATTTACAAGTAATCCAAGCCGTGATCATTAGAAGGTTTTGACAAGGTTCTTAGGTATTTGAAGTATAATTTAGCCTATGGATTACTCTTTACAAAATATCCCGCGGGATTGGAAGAATATTGTGGTGAAATTTGGATATCCGACATAAAGAATTTCAAGTCTACCAGTGGTTACGTATTTACCATGGTTGGAGCTACTATGTCATGAAAGTCGACAAAGCAAACATGTATGGCTTGATCAACGATGGAATCGAAGTTTATTACTTTGGACAAAGCCGAAGTAGAAGCAGAATGGCTTCATAAATCCTTGGAAAATATTTCATGTTGGCCTAAGTCAGTAACCGCAATAGGTATACATTTTGATGTCAATCGGCTATTGAAATGGCGCAAAGCAGAATGTATAATAGTAAGTTTGGACATATATGTTGTAGACACGATATCATTAAGCAATTGATCTCAAATGGAATTATCTCCATAGAATATGTGAAATCAAAGGAATACATTGCGGATCCACTTACAAAATGTTTATCGAGAGATCAAGTACGTTATCTATCGAAAGGAATAGGATTAAAGCTTACGACGTAAGAATATTTGTAATGGTAACCCTACTTTGTTGATTGGAGATCTCAAGATCTTGGTTTAAGGGGACAACTAAGTTATGACAATTTAATGAAGAACTTAGAAAAATACTTTCTAACTCATTCATATGATAATTAAAGTGTTTTATACAGAATGTTAAAGGTTAAGATATGTTTTTAATGATTCATATATATAACTTAATTAAGTCAAGTAGAGTAGGGTAAATTCTCTTAATAGGAGGTCACCTAATGTAAGTGTGAGGGGAGGCTGCTTCAAAGAAAATTGTTCGAGATTGAATTTTTCTGAACACTTATGAAACTCGAGAGTGGTTCATGGCCAAAATGAATCAATTCATGAGAACCATGAATGATTTAGGGAAAAGATCTGTGTAAGTACTATTGTTTTGATTTACACCGATGGCTGATTGGCTCAAGACATCACATTTACCAATTGGCCAAGTAAATCAGATAGTATTTCAATAAGAAATGTTCAAAGTCGGAAACTATCTTACCTGATGCAGTATTTTTCTGATTTCTCTACAATGTATCATATTTTCGCATAACATGAACATATTTGAATTTTCATTCATTTGGGAATTGTTCGAATATGGTTTAAAGATTGAAAATTTTTGGTTAAGTATAAACTTAAAAAGTGACTTTGTGTCAATTTTGACCAAATATTGAGGCTTGATCCGATAGTCAAATTATAAAAATAAATAGATTAACTTGTTCCACTCGTAGAGTAGATTGTTATAATAAATTTGAAATCTTAAAATCAATTCTGAATGAATGAGAAATTACGATCTAAAGTTGAAAGGAAAACAAAGAGAAAATAGGCCAAAATTATCCAACAATGCCGCTCGAGTAGCAGGCTAGCGCCAAGCAAGTGGCAAAGTTATCGCTCGAGCGATAAGCCAACGCTAGGCAAGCAAAAATCTTCTTCTCAAAGTGTGTCACTGGGTCTTCAGTGAGAGGCAAGCGACAGCAAGAGATGCATCCCATCTTGAAAGTTGCTAAATTTTAAAGCGTGTCTATTCATCCACAATTTGTTCTCTTCTATAAATAGAGCCATTTGGATGTTCATTTTGAATCATTATCATTGACATTGTGTCTTGCATCAAAAACTCTTGCAAAACTCTCCAAAATTCATTCCAAAAACTATTTTCTTGTAGAGAAGAAAATCGTTTAGTTTCTCTGTTGCTTGTAGTTTGAAATACTTCTACCACAAGTTGTATTCGTTATATCTTGGAAGACAAATGTCGTAACCCTTAGCACCATTGCGGGACAATTCTGTTTTAAAGAGAACGTGTTTTATCACTTGTCTCGGATTTTCTTTCATCTTTCATTCTCCTTCCTTTCGCTTCATTTTCTATTCTATATATATTGATTTTAATTACATTCCCGCGAATTAAATTTAACCATTAACTTTGTCAATTATAAACAACCCTTTCACTACACAAATCACCAACAATAACAAGACAAATTGGTTCATCTATGTCCCAAAAACATATGAATTGTATTTCTTCCTTTGTTCATACCTGTTTGAAAGTATTGGTGCTAACTTGTGGCTTCAACTGTTAGGCCACCCAAACAAACGTGTTCATCCTGTTTTCAAATCTTTAAATTACTCTATCAATGTGGCACATAAAGTCGACTTTAGTGAATCGTAACAATTCTGTTTCCCCACTCTTTGAATTGTGCTAAATTTTTTAATTTTTTTTTTTTCCTGATGTTGTTCATTATGTATGGGCCCCTCGTCCATAACTTTTAAAAAGACGCAGATGAATGCAGAAATTTCGCATGGCTCTATGGTGGGTACAAGTTCCAAACTCGGATCGAGTGATTCCATTTGATTCTTCTTAAGTTAAATTAGGTGATTGGTATTAAAACTAAGAACATAAGGATTTGATTCAATTCTTGCTTCTAAATCCATAACTGAAGAACTGAACCTATTAATTTATTTTTTCGATAATTGAACCAATCAATGAATGAATAAATGGTAGGTAAGTATTAGAAATACCATAAAATATTTTATTTTTATCACTTTTAACTTGTATTCATATTTCATTTTTTTCACATAATTTTGATAGCTTAAAGCGATGAAACCAATGAGATAGAAAGGAAATTCGCTTATGTTTGACTATTATTATTATTTACGCTTTGGTGATTGAGTTTTATATTTGGACTACGTTTGTCCGTTTATATTAAGATGAACATATCATTTATTAGTTTGTTGTGTAGTTTCAAATATTAGGGAATGAATATAGTTGTTGACAGAGACGGAGATGTAGGGGTAGTGTCCGCTGGTCCACTATTCCTACTTAATTTGTAATGAATTTTTCAGTCTCGCCCCCGCAAAATTTTGAAATTTATTTTTTCCATTAATAAATATTACCCAATAACTTACACTTTAAAATTCAACCATACAAAAATCTTAGACCTAAACAAAAGATCAAATAGTTACTTAAATAAATAAATAGCCCAAATCAAATCCAAAAGTAAATGATCCATTTATGAATCAATTACCCAAAAACAATTACAGAACATGCATTTTCAGCTATAAGTGTCATTAAAACAAGGTTGCGTAATAGAATAGAAGATTTTTTTTGTCCAGTACCATACTTGTGTATATAGAGAAGGAGATTGTTGATACTTTTCCATTAGATTCTCTTTTTAAGGAGTTCGAAGTGATGAAGACAAGGAGTGACCAATTTCAGATATCCAAGTCATCTCTACCATCTATTATATAGATAAGCAGTTTACTTTTTGTCCTTTTGATATCCATCTAACGTTCATATTTTCAATTTGTATAGCGTTAGGCACATAGATGGACATATTGTTTTTGTATCGACAAATTAGTTGTCTTTTTGGTAAGTCAATCTAACTTGTCTATTTTGATACTCAAAATCATCGTTTTCAATCTTCTTAATTAAAAAAAAAAAAAATTCGAAGGAGGGCACCACACGTATTTTTGCCCCCGCAAGATTAAAATCTTGACTACGTCCCTGGTTGTTGAAATTGTGACATCATTGAATAACTTAATTATAGATCCGAACCAAACTGTATCACACTTAAAGTTGAAGTCCGCGATTTCATTTACAAGATATCCTAATTTATTGTTCGGCACTTTTTGAAATTGAATCGAATTGGATCATGTCTACCTCTACAATGATCTTTGCAATGAAGCTAGAACGCAAAGTTCTCACTATTTATGATCAATTAAGAAATTTTGTTAGGAGACAATAAGACATAAAATCAAATTCAATTTGAAGAGGGGATTTTCTTTGTAGTTTTTAGACATTCTTGCCTTCATACACATCGACGGAATGGGAGATGCACAAACCAACAACATATTGTTGAGGCTGGCCTAAGCATGTTAAATTCTAGCGTGATCCTTTGCCCAAATAATTTCCTCATCAACCCCGACTTCCAGTTCTTTATTTTGGTAGCAGAACATTTCCGGAGAGTGCGAATGGGTCATTAATCTTGAAATTAGGTAGCACTATCCTTAACCTTTTCTAATGTTATAGCAGCACGAGTCCTTTCGGATTGATTTAATTGAATTAGGCGTTAAATCAACATGTAAATTTGGTAATCTTTTTAAGGACCTAGCTGTCTATTATACGTAACCCAAATAGTTTTAATAAAAAAAAAATTGAAATTCCCCATTAATTGAATATTGACTTTGAAATTGGATAAAAAATATATATAACATTTTTTTATGTCATATTTGGCCCTACATTTTGAAGGTAAAAATGAATTTTTACTGTTGATTTGATAGGGAATATGTGGTTGAAAAAGAAGGAAAAATTATTGGTGTGATGGAAAATATTATTTTATTGAAGAATTAAATTAAAATCTACGATACAACGCGTGGCGCAGGTTTCGGCCGGTTACACTCCTCCCATTTCTCATTTTCGTTCAGTCCATAGATAACTCCGCCGTGTCGATCCCACTCGTAATTCAAGCAGAATTTCGACACATAATCAGACCCAAAAATGGGATTAGAGGAAGTGAGCAACAGGAAAATCGTACTGAATGATTACATTATAGGTTTCCCAAAAGAATCGGACATGTCATTGAAAACCTCCTTTATCAAACTCAAGGTTCCGGCGGATTCTCCTAATGCAATTTTGGTGAAAAATTACTATTTGTCTTGTGATCCTTACATGCGCAATCGCATGCAGAAAAATGAGGGGAGTTACACTGAGTCCTTTAAACCCGGCACTGTGAGTCATTTTCACTCCCAATTCTCCTCCCCAATTCGGTTATTTTTCCTTTATTATAATTCCATTTCTTGTGTTGGAGGTATTTTGATTAATTTTTATTCATATTTTGTTGTTTATCGATATATGTACGATGGATTTGACTGCCGCTTGACTGCTATTTGTACATTGTGGAAAATGGAAGGGTTGGCACTGTGCAGTCATTGTTCTAAAAAAGTTCGCTGGGCAATATTTGTACATTGTGATTGAATGATTGTGCCCAAGGTCCAGGATTTTAGGGGCAAGATTTAAGTACGTTATTTATTTTTTCAAACAAGATGATAATGCAATAACATTGAAAATGACAATTGATTTCACTGCTAAGTCTATCAAATAAAACTATATAATTGGCTAATTCTATTCCTAAATAACTGTTTGTCTTCCATTAAAAAGATTTTTTTGGGGAAGATGTGTTTTGGAACAAATTTTTTTATTTATTTTTTTGGGGAGAATGTGTAGTTAAAAAGTAGGATTAGGTTTTGGATTTACGTGTGAAATATTTTATCTTGAAAATGTGTGGTTAAAAATGAGTTTGAGAAAAAAAAAAAAAGAGTTTTTATACAATGATAGACAAATAGGGGCAGTGACCATTGTCTGCTCAGTCATGATAAAAGTATATTATATTCACTATATTAGTGATTTTTATATTAATGTAACTGTCACAAACACGTGATTAGGGAGAAATATTATTTCTTGAAAGACCACCCTTTGCCTATGGTCCTCCTTAGAATTCCATTCCACAGTTTATAAAGGTAGCAATTGAAATTGCAGAATTTATTTAGCTATTACTAAAAATCCATCACGATCACTTCAAACCATCACAGCTAGTAAGGAGGACATTGCTGAATTTAATATTTAGTTATCTTACCCACAGGATAAAACTTTCTCCCCTACTGATGACAAATATCTAATCACCTCATTCTGTATGATAGCTTTGTGCTGTTATTGAGATTCTCTATTTATCTATTATCTAGCCTATCGTCGGATATGGAGTGTCCGAAGTTGTTGACTCGGCTCATCCCAACTTCAAGAAGGGTGACCTGGTTTGGGGAATTACTAGCTGGGAAGAATACAGCCTTATTAAAGCTCCAGAGTCTTTCTTCAAAATTCAGCATACAGATGTGCCTCTCTCCTACTATACAGGAATTCTTGGTAAGTTACTGTCTTAAAAAATGCGTCATCACTAGATGGAGGTGTTCTCTTTTTGATGCAAACATAAAGGAATTTACTTGATCCCCCTCTCCCTCCCTCTCGTGCAAGTGCGAAAAGAATTGCTGGCTCTGCTGGATAGAATAATAAGATAACAGGCTAAATGACTTTCTAAAAATAATTTATGCAGTTACGATTAGTTGCACGGTATCTCAAACCAGCTACTTACAGGCATTTAAATTCATCCTCTTTTTGTTAACACTTAGCAGACATGGGTTGTAAGTTGTTTTCTCTTAGGAAAGTTTTATCTGGTGTGGAGAAAAGTGGTTTAACTAGATTTATTTCCAGTTTTGGTTAAATGACTTTCTAAAATAATTTATGCAGTTACGATTAGTTGCACAGTATCTCACTATCTCAAACCAGCTACTTAGAGGCATTTAAATTTATCCTCTTTTTGTTAACACTTAGCAGACATGGGTTGTAAGTTGTTTTCTCTTAGGAAAGTTTTATCAGGTGTGGAGAAAAGTGGTTTAACTAGATTTATTTCCAGTTTTGGTTTTGGTTAAATAATATTGTTTTGTTGGCACCTGGATTACATGGGTCCCGACATTAATAAATTAAGATAAACATTCCAATTTCTCAATTCTGAAATAACAGTTAATTGCAACTGAAGCACATTGATGATTTGGATTTCTTTACTGTGTTGCATCTTCCACATGATATCTGTTTTCTCCTATGTTGAACCCAAGACAAGTGGATAATTCAAACACAAATGTTGCATGACGTTATGTTTCTGGTCGATGTTTGGGAAATGCTTTTGTAATGTGTATTGCTTTTTGTATACTATTGCCTGTTTCTCCTTGGCTGCTCTACCATCCAGAACTTGTGTTTCTTTCATATAATGTAAGAAGAGGCTTACTTTATTCACATCAAGCATGAACAAATAAAACAGGTGAATCAGAAGTCGCCCCTGTTCGTTGATTGGGTTATGGGGCAAGATGGGAGTGAAGAAGGGTATCAACCATAATTGTACCACTGTTTCTATTACTTTGTCTTCTCAAACTGTCAAAGTCAGCTAACTTCTTGCACTTGGCTATTGATATTTTGATTATGTCCTTTAGCAAGATGAATTTAGCATCAGACTGAAATATGACCAGTATTCTGGTTTGGTGACATAGTGACACAATCTTTTACAATCAAATGCAAAAAATGGTAAATTCATTGCCATGTTGCATAGTTCTTGCGGATGAATAAGAATATTTTATGAGAAAATGAAAATTCAGTCTTTATTGAACCAAACTTTTGTGGACCTTTTCTTTTTATAGTTGTTTGGCTGCTCGTTTCATTTACTTTATATTTCTTGTTAGGTATGCCTGGCATGACTGCTTATGCTGGTTTTTATGAGGTTTGCAATCCCAAAAAGGGCGAAACTGTCTTTATTTCTGCTGCATCTGGAGCAGTTGGTCAGCTTGTTGGGCAATTTGCAAAGTTGCTTGGGTGCTATGTAGTTGGAAGTGCCGGAAGCAAAGATAAGGTTAGAGAAAAATATTAATGCCGATGGCATGTTTACATAAACACAAATATTAACAGCAAAAAAGCTTTATTTTGCTGAGATTAACAGCGATCAAGTTTCTCGGATCATAAAACATATCTTCAAGTTTAAGTTTCTGTTATATTTTTACTATTTCAGCTCGAAATAATCTTGAGCATTTTCACTATTTACTTCATTTCTCCTGTGTTGTTGAAGGTTGATCTGTTGAAGAACAAATTTGGATTTGATGGTGCATTTAACTATAAAGAAGAGCAGGACCTAATTGCAGCTTTAAAGAGGTGAGATTTTGACTTCTCTTTTTTCAGATATGAACCGTGAATGCACTACAAAGGGCTTGGCTTTAAATCTTAATACGTCCCAGCGGCATGACTAGAATTGAGTTTGTGTCTTCTTCCTATTCAGTATCAGTGCCCCCATCCATGCGGAAATTTCGAGTGCAAATAATTAAAATGCTTGCACTGTTGCTTTTCTTCATTTTACAAAATTTATGGTGCAACCGTTGTTCTGATAGGTATTTCCCTAATGGAATTGATATTTACTTCGAGAATGTTGGAGGAAAGATGCTTGATGCCGTGCTCCTCAACATGAAAATCAAGGGCCGTATAGCTGTTTGTGGAATGATCTCCCAATACAATCTTGAGCAGCCAGAAGGCATACACAACTTATTGTGCATTATAATGAAACGAATTCGTATGGAGGGATTCCTTGTTATTGATTTCTACCACCTCTATCCAAAGTTTTTGGAGATGGTGCTGCCACAGATAAAAGAAGGAAAGATTTCATATGTAGAAGACATGGCCGAAGGCCTTGAAAGTGCACCGGCTGCTCTTGTAGGGCTGTTCGCTGGTCGCAATGTTGGGAAGCAGGTGGTGGTTGTTGCCCGTGATTAGAATATGTAATAACAGTATTAGCGCTGTCAGTTGTTTGCTGTTTGTGGAGTGAGNGGCCTCGTATAATTAATTGCCTAGGGCCTCAATATTCTTAGGGCCGGCCCGGGATTAGAATATGTAAAAACAGTATTAGCGCTGTCAGTTGTTTGCTGTTTGTGGAGTGAGTTTTGTTTGATGCAAACCTGTCTAGATTATCTAATATTTTGTACAATTCACTCAGCAAGACCAGCTAATGTCTCAGTCTATCTCTTGTGAGTAGATAATAGGGGTTCGGTTCTCCAACACATATCTTATAAATGGAACATAACTATATAATCGAACCCAAATTGAATAGTTCCGGTTCGGTTTCATAAACAAAATTGTCAAATTATTTGTGCAAATTATAGTACAAGATTGCGTCATTAGAAGCTAATACTCACGTCTAAATCAAAATAATGATGTTCGAGACATCTAGTGCTTTAAAATGACTTTATTGTCGTATAGAAATGGTTAATGGTTCACATCAATTGCACCCGCCTTAATATCCAAAATATTAAAAAATAAAAATTGTCAAATTGATCTAGGTTTTTTGGTTTGTGGTCCTGGGTTTGAATTGGAAATCAACCAGAACCAACTGATTCTAATTCTAGTATTTAAAATTTAAATAAAATTGAACAAAATTATTTCGTTTCTCTCGCACAACCTGTAATTAGATCAGGAGGAGGAGACCATCAGAATGAAACGAAATAATTGGCGAATTACAATTATCATTTTCAAGATATTATACATTACATTTTAAAGATAATGAAGTTTTATCATATGATGTAGTGAAATCAAAAATCAACCTTCAAAGATTGACGGAGATGTAATAAAATACAAATGATTTTTAGATAAGGTGTAAATATCGTATTGTACTGACTATACGCGATTATAATTGATCATAAGAAGTTCAAGTTCGGCCTAATTTTGAAAAGCCTCGACTTGTCATCTCTTTAACATATTACTTCCTTGATTGATTACATTCTACAATAAAAGTAGTAACCTCAACTCAAATGTGTTCCTCGATTAAAAAAATAAAATAAAATAAAAAATATGAAATGCACTGGAAGAATTACAACTTCAAAATTTATTTCCAAGGAAATAAAACAAAAAATAGAGAATTGAGATTTGGGATGGCAGTGGTCCGTCCTGACGTATTATTTAGATTTCAGACTGTATTTTTATTTTCCATTCTTTTTATTTATTTTAGCCATTATTTGATCTCATCCTCCTAAGTGTCAATCCATCAATTATATGTTGATGAGCATTTAATGCAACATTTAGCCCTGTTTGGATCGGATTAAAATATGATTTTAATTTAAATCAAAGTCAAACAATCAATATTAATCACATCTTTCATGGGTCCCACATCTTTTCAACCACACATTTTAATAATTTTTATCACAATCCACTAAAAATTGAATTTTAATCCCCGCCAAACACCCTCTAATATTTTCTGGAAAATGGGCTTAAGACTTGACCTGTAGGCATCTGCTGCAGAGACGTTATATCAATCGATCATAAAAAGATTTGTTCAAGAGATGAAATGAAATAGAAGATGCTCCTCACTAGTTGAGAGGCTAATTGCTTGACATCTTCGTACAGTAGAGGTGGCGCCTCGTTTTTTACACAAGAGGTCATCCTCCAAGGCACAAGGAATAAAGAGATTTGTCACCTCGACTTCGTCTCACCTCGATTGGGTGGATTGTGATATGGAGTATGGGTGTGATTTGAATCATTTCATTAGCTATTAGTTGTCTCCGTTCTTTCTAAACACACCTTGAGATAATATTATATACGTAAATCTTATTTTTTTTATTTTATTTTATAATCACATATTTTCCGTCAATTTACTATTTCGAAATGTATTTCGAGTGGGGTTCTTAATTTTTTATATACAATTTAAAATTTAAATTACGAAAATTAAGAATCAAAATAAATATAAAAATGGAAATAATAGGAATATAGAAGAAAACTGACTACATATCTGCCATCACAACCGTCTCCCTTGGCCACTCCACTGCAAAATTCCCAGCACTGCCGCAAACCCGCGAAAGTGATCTTCTTCAAATTCGAGAAGGTATAAATTTGTCCCTTGTTTATTTAAATTTCTTTATGCTGAATTTCAATTTCAATTTCCATCTTGTTCATGAACTGCTATTGCTTTGATATTTCAAGTTTGGAGTACAGAATCAATTTCATCTTTCTTTTTCTGAAATAAAAAATAATAATAATAAAATAGATTTTTATGAATCGCGGTTGAGAAGTGACTATTTGGAGCCAAATACACTGGTGGTCACTAAATTTGTAGCAGTATTTTATATTGATCATTATATTTGTGTTGTTTCAAGTTTTTGATTGAACTTTAACTTTATTACAATTGATCAATTGGTTTAACGTAAAAGGTTTCTGAATAGATTGCACGTTAGCTTTTCCGTTAGTCACACTAACAAATATATACGAAATGACCAAATTGTGACAAATATTTTAGTTACATAAAATTAAAAATAGTGTAGATAAGGTGTAAGGATAAGGTACAAGAGATAGAAGAATACCCTGCAGGAATTGTGTAGGCGTAGAAATCCAAGCCCTAAAATTTGTTTCATTTTGAAGAGTAAATTGTACATTTATCTCAATATGTGTGGTTATATCGTGAAAGACAGAGTTTGTAATTGGACCATGTGAGCTTAGATGTGCTATTGGCTAAAACTATGTATTGAGATTTTTTATGGAGGTTTCTGATGTATTACGAAGAGTTTATCTCCACTTGTGACATGATAATATAGTGACGGTGAGATACAATAGTTCCAATGTTACTTCAATATAATGTAAATTTCGACATTTGATCAATTATAAGAATTCTATGGAAAATTAAACTAAGGAGCAGCAAACCGCAAGACCTCCCTTTCTCACCAATGTGACCTGTGTACATGAGAAATCAGATGTCTTTGTTGTTACAAAGAGCCAAACATATCCTAGATTTTTCATGATTTATTTAAACTGGTTAGGTTGCCTAGAAAACGATAGTCTTCGTTATGCTGACAAAGAGAGACTGCTAAAGATTTATTGTAAGAAATAAATGACTTATATGTGACAAACTTATATGCCTATCATTCTTGCTTGTAGTATGGACGAGTCTTTCATGTTCCAGGTATCCTTTGGTTTTTCCAATAAAAATTGCTGCAAAAAGGAAGATGCATTTTCAATATTTATTTTTGAAAATATTGGTTACACTGTCAAGTTGTTCAGAATCCCTAGTTAATGGTGCCGATAACAGTGTTAATCTGGGTATAAGAAGAGTTTGAATATGAAGATATATAATTAGTTCCTTTTTCGATGAAAAAATAAGGTTTTTTATAACGTGGGTTTTAAGTGGCAGAGAGAAGCTATTTCTGGTGTTTTCAATTCATTTATCACATGTAACTTGTTGAACGGTCTTTTGTTTTGTGTGCAGAGCAGAATAAGTGAATCCATGTGGCTGAACAAATATTTACGGTTAATGCTTTGATGAGTTGGAGAGTGGGCTGAAAGAACCAGGGGGTAGGGAGGAGGGGTATTAGTGTAGTTATATTTGTCAAACTAACTGCTCTCTCTCTCAACCCCCCTCCCCCCCTCTTTCTGCATTAATGTCACGCCTCTTTGCAGTGGATTATTAGTTTTAATTTGCTTGCCCCATCATTACATTGAAATGTCATACAAGGAATTTGATATTTATACAGTAGAATCAGTTTCAGTCCTTAAATTTTTGGGATCACACTCATACACGAGGAATTCAAAATTGGACAAATTGAACCTTAATTTCTTTGTTCATTCAGGCTTTTTGCAGTTCTTTTGCTTAATGCCTTATCTGACAGCACGTAGAGCATACTGTCACGGGACTAGATTTCTTACACTAGAAAAACTAGACACCGTGCGGCCTTAACGCAACA